CCGTTGTACAAAGGAATCTTAACGGTTAAAGCTAAAGTGACCGTAACTCCCTATCTTTACATAGACGTATGACAGCCGTGGAACTGGGGTTCCATTGTACCCTGATATAAGTAAGGATAGATTTACTTATACCGGTACCACTAAACGTATTTTCTGCGCATGATCGGAAGGAAGCTTAAGGTTAAGGTTAGGGTTAGGGTTAAGGTTAAGGTTAGGGTTAGCAGGGTTAGTAGGGTTAGGGTTAGGGTCAGACTCCTATACACAACAACCGGAAGTACCTAAAACAATGGTACCGGTATATGTAAAGTGCTCCATAAGTAATAATAACTGACATACGTATCGCACCTTATCTATCGACAAATGCACGAACTCAGTATAATCAAGTCTGAACATATGTCTTTTGTCAGAGCAGCTTCTATGAGCTGGAGATTGCTTGATGACCAACTGTAGAGACGTTCACAGCGTTAGACCTTAGTGTGAAAAAGTCCAAGGATTTTAGGTTTTTGATAATAAATATTAGCAGCTCTTCATCCTTCAGTCGGAGACTTCTGAAAGGAGTGTATTCATTGATGGGCTCAGTCAGAAATTCTGAAGCTGCTTGCACTGATATAACGTAGGGAAAACTCCAGTCGTCAAATCTACCAACCAAAGACAAAGAAGAATTAGGACAATATTATGGATATACAACTTCTGTATTCTGTATAGTCGACGTTTAGACATAGATTCGTTGTCAAGTTGTCTTGCTTGACAAAGACATCAGAATCTATGTCGAAACTTCGCCTATACAGAATAAAGAAGTTGTATATTCATAAAAATGTCCTGATTCTTCATCTCCTCAACTTCTAGAATGCCAAAGAAAGAAGTCAACCCAAGACAACAATGTAGATCCTTTACAGTAGCTGCAATGTGTTGCTTTTCTAAGAGTGAGTGAGTGAGTTTAGTTTTACGCCACACTCAGCAATATTCCAGCTATATGGTGGCGGTCTGTAATTAATCGAGTCTGGACCAGACAATCCAGTGATCAACAGCATGAGCATCGATCTGCGCAGTTGGGAACCTGAGCCTGACCACCCGATCCCGTTAGTCGCCTCTTACGACAAGCATTGGTTACTGAAGGCCCATTCTAACCCGGACCTTCACGGGGCGCTTTTCTAAGAACATACACCCCAACGGAAAAGTTCAATCCACAATTTTATACCCACACCATGGTCATTACCACTGTGAACGCTAGCACATGGTCTGCCATCGTGTGACTTTGACATAACGCGCAAAACCAAACATGCATGCGTGGCCATTCTGCTCGAGGCAAACTATAGGAATTATGGCTATTTAAAAGCCATACCATATATTATTATTTGACTGTCGTTAATGCGTTCAAATCGGCCCCTGTAACAGAAGCACCCGAGGGTGAATGTCGGATTTGAACGAGCCAATGCTATTACGCGTGGTTGCTTATGCATGGCGATCACAGCAAGAGGGAAGACTCCTGTAATGACGCTTAGAAAGACTTTTGATCATGTTTTCTAATAACTGTGACGTTTAGTTTTTCTTGATCTTCTGGATTGGTAGAACTTGTAACATACAGTTCAAGTAGTCAATATGCCATGTACTCCTTGTAAAGCGATCACCATCGGTCATATGGGTCCACTTTCCAATACAGCCTGCCTCGGGCCAATACGATGACCTTGACCTATGACAAGGCAAATGTGAAAACACGTATATATAATATTCATGTGTTGTATTGGACGGTTTGTCCACGTCATTAACGCCCATTATATTTAAGTAGTTGTCTCTGGGTGTAAGATGAGCTTGAGTTATGGTGTACTGAAATTCCATTCTATAACCATGACAATTCTGATGCATTGGCATCATTCATTGTCGTCCTTGACAATCATTCCATGACAAGCCGTACTCCCATTTCATATCAGTTGTCAACACTCGGTCATTTCCGTAATGTATCCGATGACACGAGCTGGCCACAGATGTTTCTTAAAGATTACGGGAAGTTGCGATCAGCGACAAACCTTTAGTCTGTCTCACAGTCCTAGGCCTTGAACCACTTTATTTTCGCTTTCGTCCAGCCCTTTCTGCAATGCTAGAGCCCTAAATGAAGTCCAGATTTCCTCAGGTTCTGAAACTCACAATTCACTGGGGATTCTTTTGATTTTAAATGGAATTATTTGTTTCTAAAAAGTGTATACATTCAAAGACTATGGATCAGTCTAACAAACCTTGTACGAAACCGTGATCAACTCGTGTTGTTCCGAGCAGGTTACGGAAAGGGGCGGTTGGTGACGAATGGTCCTCGTACATACCAGAAGGCCATTCGTGACCAACTCGTGTTATTCCGGGACAAGCCGAATAGCTGGTTACGGAAAGAGGCGAGTGGTGACGAATGACCAGAAGGCCATTCGGCTATTCTGGAATGTCACGTACTCCTGACGAATGGAACCGAATGTCATTTGCCGAAGGCGGCACTGCTGGTGAATGTTTAAATGCGTAAACAACCTGTTTCTTACATAATCATTCGTTATAAATGGAGCAGATGAAATGTAAGATATTCGCGGATGGGATCAATGCAGTTGCGGTTGATTTCGGTCAATCGGGGTCAAAGTCTGGTCACCTATGCGGAAGGAATGTACGATAATGGCTGACTGTTGTAGAGCTGATTTATTTCCTGACAGATCTACAGCGAGCTGTCGGTAATATTCAGGACAGAACTGTATGATAATTATGAAACTGCTGTTAACTCAAACAAGGGCACAGGTGGTTAAACAGGTTGTCCATTTGTCCCAGGAGTGAGTGTGGTTTTTCGCTGCTTGTAGCAATATTCCAGCAATATTACGGCGGGGAGACACCAGGAATGAGCTTCACACATGTAGCCATGTGGGGAATCAGACCTAGGCTTAAGCGTGACGAGCGAACGAAATGAAATACCAATTGAATCATCTCTCAAACTTGTTAAAAAGGTTTCAATTTGCTTATAGTGTTAAATATTGGAAATGTGTCTGTATCTAGCGTAGATTCACAGATAAACAATGATTACACTGGATACGGTTTGTGTCCAGTATGAAACTAGAATAGAACAGATGTGCTTGTGAACTATTCCACAGGCATTTCTTATCGCCCTGGTGTGTTCCGAATGCAAAATGAATCAGTGTTACATTAGGATAGGTCTCGATCTTTATGAACTTGTTTAGTCTTTTAACACAATATGTACATGTTATTCAAATTTTACTGAGATGTGGGCAATTACGAAACCTTGAGAAAACAAAAAAAACTATTCGACATTGGACACAAGTCTCCCAAATATTTCCACTACTCCCATGGACGCCTAGGTTGTTGTGTATTTTGATACGGACTATAGGCCATTTGTCAACGGCGGGTGTGAATACTTTTAGACGATGACTGCATTACAGTCCTGCACTTTGAATAAATGGCGCCTTTCTCTACAATAGCTGTGTTAGTATATAGTCCAGTTGCAAGGTCAGATGAAACAGAGAGAGATGTAGAGACAGATGAGTTGATGTAGCAGCTGGGTGATGGCGGTCTGTAAATATTCGTGTCATTAATGGTCATCAATCCAGTGATTGACATCATGAGCATTGAATGGAATACGATGGCAACTCCCTTTACCACCGATCCAGTTAGTAGCCTCTTACGACCAGCATGGGTCTACTATGGGCATTGCATCTGTCTGTAGGGGCAAGAGTAACAGAATCTTAAGGACGCTGGTTCGATTCCAAGATTTGAAGAGAATCCTGTGTTAGCTTGATCTGTATCAATTTTGACTGTAATACAAATAACGCTCAAGCCATAATATAACATCTATTTCTTATTCACCTCACCTTGCCATACTCTTGAAAAAACCCTTTAGAGGATCGTTGACCCCAACACACCCAATGCATAGAGGAACCCACCAAGATCTGGGTCAGAATTGATCTTCAGCAACCCATGCTTGTAGTAATAGTCCACTGAAGGGATCAAGTACGTGTTGACATAGTTGATGCTTGTCATCGTATCTCAGTTGCCTATACCTCGAAGCACATGATGTCAGTCACTGGATTGTCTTGTCCCGGCTCGATTACTTACAGACCACCATTGCTACTTCTACTACGACTGCATGGATGCCTGCACAGTGCTTTGTGTTTCCATTCTATTTCACCCGTGAAGATCCGGGTTAGAATTGGTCTTCAGCAACCCATGCTTGTCGTAAAAGGCGACTAACGGGATCTGGTGGTCAGGCTCGCTGACGTGGTTGACACATGTCATGGTATCGCAGTTGTGTAGATCGATGTTCATACTGTTGATCACTGGATTGTCTGATCCAAACCATTATATTTCAATGAACAGAGATATAATAAACTACAGTACTTATTGAGGATGTGCTTGAGTTGGCATTCTGACCCACAGCTCTCAACTAGTTGCCATAGCCACCCTGTGCCTGGACAGTGTGATGACCCCACGCTCCCCGTCCCCTTGGCATGTTTAAGCCTGCACCCCCATATAACCTCCGGGCAGAAGGTGACCCAGCTGGGCACAACCCCAGCATGTCAAATATTAATGCAACCATAAGTGCATAATCGGAGTGTAATGTGAGTTCATCCATCACAAGATTTCACCCATGTGACTGTCATACGTAATTTTACAAATCGAAAGTACCCTGATGCAACACTTTATGGAGGAAATTAGTGTTAGGTAACAGATTAATTAGCTGGAGGCATTGTGCAATATAACATTTACCATCCTACCGAGGGAGGTCAAGGTAACAGCTTGTCAGGCAGCGAGACTTTGTGTAACCTCAGTAGGCAGTTTATTAGGTATATAGTGCAGCTGTTGTAACAATATCCGCTTGCACATTTGTATAGTTTCTTTGTGAAACGTTCAGAACTTTACGTTCTAGCATCACGACAAAGCAAGATCCCCCACGAGGTCGTTATTGTAGACTTCAAAATAGACCGACCTTTTCAAACAGCCTTGAAAATATGATTGAACAAGTATACGAATAATAATTTATTGAAAAACTATGTACATGGGAATGTGTGATTGGAATGTGAAGGTTGTGAAATGTATTTACTGTTGTAGACCCAAACAATTGCATAAGGTTGATGAATTTTCAGATATACATTTAAAGGAAATGGTTTTTGTACATTTTGATGTATTTTATAAATCACAGCTGTGGCGATTTGACAAGTGTACACGTGAAGTCTACAAGGATGAAGCTAGATGATCTAGTCCACTAGAAACAGTCTGTGCATAAAGATGGCCTCTTGGTGAAGGTTCTCGAACAAGGCACTCATCCGGTATGGATAATGAAACGAAATTTGACCTGGTGATTAGAGTTAGCTGAATAATTCTCAGTTTCTTTATCATGGTAAGACATCATCAAGTCAGGATAATGAAACGAAATTTGACCTGGTGATTAGATAAGTTTCCTGAATCATTCTCAATGTCTTTATCTTTGTAAGACAACGTCGAGTCCAGCATATACTCGCGTGATGAATTCACCGTATCTGTGGCACAGCACGTAGGTATGCCACGTCATGTCCGTCGATGTTTGATCACGAACACCTCCAAGAAAGGCATGGATATTTTGGCAATGTTGAATAAAGATTATTTCCGTTGGTTTAGGCCCAAAATACACTGTAGATAGCAGCTTGAGTAATGCCCGGGACGGTATTCCCACACAACTATATACACTAGCACTGTCAGCACTTCAAAACCGTCTGTACACTATAGCCTCCAAGGTCCAGTATTATATATCCAAAATTGTCCGAATTGTGAAAACATGATTGAGAGATTTGATGGTATAAATAATCTCGTTTTACATCGTGCTGGACTTTTTCATGATTTAATTTGGCAATATCTGCTTAGCTTCCTTCTTCAGTCATCCTGGTCTCTATTCATTCTCCTCTTCTTTCTTCAGACTCTCCATCTCAGAGCCCTCATTATGCTGGTCGATGTTGACCTTCACGATAGGGGACGACGTTGTCAGATCGTTGTAGACGCCAGCACTCAAGGCGGAGTTGCGCTGGACCTTGGCCGCTCTGGCATACTCCGAATCACGGTCCCTGGTTTAAAGAAATACGATTAATTTTTACCCTAAAGATTACATTATTCAGTGAAATGATAATACAAGGGACAGGCCAAATGTTTCCGCTTTGGATATTCATGTCATACAATGGTGTACTTGAATAAGATGACACTTTACTAAGAACATGTAATTAGAATAAGCATGGAAGCAGAGGAACATTTAATGATGTTTGTTCAGTGATGCTAGATATTAATGATGGAAGACACAGTGACTAAGACACATAGGCCCGGGGAGCTTACAGAAGGTCAAGCAGAATCCCATTTTCAGCTGACTTAGGGTTCTAATCCAACGTGCAGCCCAGCACAATTATGCCACCGTACACGTAGGTTTCACACAACAACCTGAATAACTTGGGCATTCTTCCAAACCGACGCCATGATAAGATTCAAATATCCACCTCGCTCATAAAAAAATATTTCCTTGTGGCTTGCTACCATTTCATATATATATATCTGTATATGCTACTTAATATTCAGTAAGTGTGCTGTATGTGCGTGATTAAAATACAACGCACGAATGAATTCAGACTGTTTTTATAAACATGATTCATATCCACATCATTTATATCAAAAGCTTTCTAAATATACAACAACGCCCGGGGTTTAAATAGTACTAATCGGTATTTCATTTCATTAGACTTTAGACTCGATAATATCACAGTGAATTCAAAACACCCAAAGGTTATATCACGTTATGAATATGTTGATGTTTTCAAAAGGAACACAAATATATTTAAACACATTTTTACCACCTCCCGATAAGCATGAATGCATTCTCGACCCTTTTCTCGGTTAATACGTTTGTGATCTATCACAAAAGGTAGCATGCGTGTATATAGAACCTTGCTGAACCAACAATGAAGGGGCAAACAAGTATAACCTACCTCTTATTTTTTATCCAGATAGTGACGATTATAGCGAATGCGGCGATTCCAGCCAGTACACCGAAAATAACTCCGACGACAAGCCCTGAAAGATAAACAAAATGAGCGAATAAGTGAGAAACCAACATGTAAACAACTCAACCTTGAATCAAATACGACGCAGTACTCCAGTCGGCTATCCTCGTGGTTTCCATTGGCAAATGTTCAACTGGATATAAAACAATAATAGCGTCACGTAAACAAAGACTTCAAATATAATTACCCTCCATTTTTTCTTCGGAAACTGCGAAAATGCGGGTTCAACGTTAAAAGAAACTAGACAAAGAACGTATCCTTGCTGTAGCCCAGTGAAGAGCGTGCGCTTTGTTGGAACGCTGGTGGGGAAATGGTGACACTGTTGTCACTCGGGGTTGTCTGGGGCGTACGTCACAGGTCAGTGGGCAAGGGTTGCTGTCGCTTCACTCTCTCTTGTAGGTCTGGGAGGTTTGCCGCACAGCACAGGTTGTGTGGGCAATGCTGGTGATGTCAGCATTGCTTTAGCGGTAGCTATCATTTGCATAACGACCTACTTTATTGTCCGTAGATAAGCGACGTTATAGAACGCAGTAGTCGATTAAGCCAGGCTTTGTTACCGTACAGGCTGTCGGTGACTAGCTCAATTGATTATTGGCGGGGAGGGGAGCGTGTTGGGGACTATGCGTGTATCGAACAGTTTGTTTCTAAATCTTTTTTTATGAATAACTGTTCTATTCTCTGTAATACTTACGTATTTTCCTTTTACACAAATATATCCTGAGTTTACATATACAGGCTGACGTGGTTACAAATGTTAGGGAAATGGGCAACTAATGTCACGACGATGGGGTTACCAGTGAGATTATCAAGAGGGCGATAATATATGGTTAAGTGGACGCATCTTAATTTGCATGGAAAAGAGATTTATCAAAACACATAACATAATGATAACTTTGCGTTGCATGCTCTCCTTTCCCGGCTATCATACTCAAACAAAAATAGTACTAAAATTTGTACTTTTCGAAGAAAGTGGAATCAATTTTGTTACATTTGACCACCTTCTAAAAGACTTTGGGTGTCCGTGCTATCGAAAATGGGCGCCGTGCCAATTTACACTTGTGGAAGGGGTGAACAGGTAAAGGTAACTTGAAAGTGTAATCCGATATGTTATTTGTTACATACAATTACCTGTGTGACGACGTATTGAGCAATATTCCAACCGACTGACCTAAAGAAAGTACACACAGGTTCAATTGTGAAATCAGACAAACAAGAACTGGTTATGGCGGTGTATTTGATAAGGCACCCTAGCTGTGAAATGGACTTTACGTTCAAGTTGTTTGACTGACTGACTGAGTTTGGTTTTACGCCGCTTTTAGCAATATTCCAGCAACATCACGGCGGGGGACACCAGAAATGGGCTTCACACATTGTACCCATGTGGGGATTCGAACCCGGGTTTTCGGCGTGACGAGCCAACGCTTTAACCACTAGGCTACCCCACCGCCCCACAAGTTGTTTGAAGGGTATATAGAAGTGATATAGAACACTAATCAAATATCGTTTTGGAAATCAGTTTCTTTGTTTGTAAAACATGAAGTTCGTTAATTCTAACTCCTTTGCTGTTCTTTAAAGGTTTCGGCGAATGTTTTAAAAGTAGTTACCTTGTCACAACGTGTGCAGGTTTGTGTCTTAACCAGAACACTTTCCTCATCCCGGATATTTTCACGGTAGGGGATGGGGTGTTGGAGTTGTAAATAATTGTATCTGTAGCAAGATTTGTATATTGAAAGCAACAAGTCTTCAAGCTGATCACCCAACCAATTTGATCGCCTTCTCAACAGCAAACGTTGCTGGAGACGTTCTCACCTGGATATCCCACGTGACAATTGTTGTGAGTAAGTGCGTTTAGTTTTACGCCGCTTTTAGCATATTTAGCAATATCACGACAGGGGACAACAACAGAAATGGGCTTCACACCATGGGAATCGAACCCGGGTCTTCGGTGTGACGAGGGAACGCTTTAACCACTAGCAGATATGCCAACCCTATTTTGGGCCTAAGTGTAATACTGGAGGTCAAAAAGTGTAATTTGGACCTAAAAAGTGTAACACTAAAAAAAACTTAGTGAAAGGTGTTAACTTTATAAAAATTACTTGTAAGAAGGTTTATTCGCATGAATAGGAAATATTCTAGACAGAAATACACGTGACCAATCATTATGAAGCTCCATACATCGAAACTTGTTGGTAGAGACACAAAATACTTTAATTCCTTACAAGTTAATTGGAATGAGCGCGATGCTAAGAGTAAGACCATTTCTGAACCCCTGTACCGGTGCGTTACGAAACATTTCCCTCTGAATTTTTTTCCACTTTATTGATTTTCTTAAAACGAGTAGAAAAGCGTAATTTTCGCAAATTAAATGTAATGGCGTAATTTCATGGTCAAAATCGTAATAATTACGCCCACAGCGTAAGGGTTGGCATCTCTGCACTAGGCTACCCCACCACCCCGATATTTGCATGAGGATCATAGTTGTAGGTACACACGGTGGGGGATCATGGGTAATCTTGATAGCATTTCCCCATCCATAGGACATATCTTGATGAGGAGGGTTTGGTTGCACTACAAAATGGCGCTGACACGTACCTATTCGTCCGGAGTCGTTGTTGGTGAAAACTGTAACTGTGGTGTTGCTGGTGGTCCCTTGACTCGTGGATATTGAACTACTTTCTGGAACTAAGGAAAATGCCCGTGAAAACATGGTGAGGTAGAGCGGAGAGTATTTACTTGGATAATACCAGGAACCATACACATGGTATCTTCATGGTTTGCAAGGATCCATGTATAGAAGTTTACTACTATTATACCCTGTACTGTTGTACTATAAACATTCACGGAGTAATTCTGCCGGGCAAAAGATTTTACTTACAATTACTGAGATGTTACTGTTGGGAGCAATGTTATTCTATTCTTTTACTCCAATTGTTTGTAATATTGATCGTAATATACAATTTGTCTCGTAGGCCAATAAGCCGGACGTTACTTTTACCACGCTAATATTTTAACTGTAACATGTGCCACTGTAAAAAACCCACTTTCTTCTTCTTCCTTACTCGACTCAAATTAATCATCGAAACACTTCCGACATTTCCAAGATGTTGCTGTGATACCCGTATCGAGTACCTTCTCGTAGAATACCTATCTTCTGTCTGAAATAAACCTACTTTACAGAAAAACAATATGTTCGCCAAATACATATATTATAATAAAAGGGGGCTATTTTCACTTGTCAAAAGCTGCAGTAAACCGGAGTTGCTAAATATCAAAGACTTGCATAAGCTGTATTGGATATATATTTTCAAGGTCTGTATGACTCCTATAGAATAACAATTTCCTGTCGATTATATTCTTAGCCGATATTTAACACTGGTGTATACTTTCTTTTGCTGCTCAGTATATATTGATCGTCAATATGTTATCTCGTGACACAGTAATCTGAGACTACTGAAACTTGGCAGGACATACAGGCCGAACATGATACCCATCATGTATACTTTCTTTTGCCGGTCAGTATACCTGCAATATGTTATCTCGTGGTACTGTAAACTGAGATTACTGAGACTTGGCAGGACATACAGGCCGAACATGATACCCATCATGTATACTTTCTTTTGCCGGTCAGTATACCTGCAATATGTTATCTCGTGGTACTGTAAACTGAGATTACTGAGACTTGGCAGGACATACAGGCCGAACATGATACCCATCATGTATACTTTCTTTTGCCGGTCAGTATACCTGCATTATGTTATCTCGTGGTACTGTAAACTGAGACTTGGCAGGACATACAGGCCGACCGTGATACCCATCATGTCAAATAATACGCTGATGGATTACACCACTTCCCACAATTGGATACATCTTACTGCGTCAGGTCCACCCCCGTGATCAGTTATCAAACTGATATACTCCACATAACATAACAATGTGTCACTCGGACTAGGTATGCATGATAGGTAAACTATCTACACCGCTTTGTCATTTCCCAGGTAAGGTGGGCGGTCGCTCCTGCATTGCAAGCCTTGCTTAACAACCTTGGCGTTCTGTCTGGCCGGATAACGCTTCCTGTGGGGGTCAGAGGGGGGTTATCGCTCAAGCCCGTAAACAAAGCTATTTCAAGGCTGCTTGGTTCGTAATGTACGAAATCTCCTATTGACATGGGGGTTTAGCTTGGAAATATCCCAATGATAACAATTGTCTGATTCATCTCGGGAAAACAGGTGGTGGGCGAGGGGTTCATCATTTCGGTGGTAGCATCCTCCGTATTTTCTTGTGGGCATCCAACCAGTACTTACCAGTTAATCGAGTATTATGCGCACTTTACTCAAGAAAATGCGACATTCAGGGTTCGGTTTCTATCAAGACTACATATACCATATGACTAATTAAGGATGACTTGGCACTGATCGCGAGACGTCTGTGTAAAAACATACAAATGTAGAATCTCATAAAGCTTCTCAAACATTTGTTTTCCTTGTTTCAAAATCTTGACGGCGTGTGTCTAGCATCACAATATTCTCTTCCTCTTGGCACGCAATGATCTGTCTCTTGCGTCACAATATTTCTCCCGCTAGCCGACTCGTGAAGATCCGGGTTAGAGTTGATCTTCAGTCACCCATGCTTGTCGTAAGTGGCGACTAACGGGATCGGGTGGTCAGGCTCGCTGACACATGTCACTGGTTCTCAGTTGCGTAGATCGAGGCTCATGCTGTTGATCACTGGATTGTCTGCTCCAGACTCGATTGTTTACAGACCGCCACCATATAGCTGGAATATTGCTGAGTGCTGCGTAAAACTAAACTCAATCACTTGCTCTAGCTTGTCCCTGGCACCACAATGTTCTAATTGACGAGCCCAACAATGTCCTTTCACTACCTTCACAACGTGCTGACTGTTCAGTGCTACAATGGTGTCTCTCCCTACCATCACAGTGATCTGTTTGGCGTCACAATGTCGTGCCCCTGGTGCCATAAACATCAGTTTTCCTCTTTTGACTTGGAATATGTTGACTTTCTTGTCTCTATCGTGTTTCAGCAGTGCCATAATACTATTTCCCTAACGTCTAACGCTGTCTGCTAGCGTCACAATGCTGCTTCAGCAGTGCCATAATACTATTTCCCTAACGTCTAACGCTGTCTGCTAGCGTCACAATGCTGTTTCAGCAGTGCCATAATACTATTTCCCTAACGTCTAACGCTGTCTGCTAGCGTCACAATGCTGTTTCAGCAGTGCCATAATACTATTTCCCTAACGTCTAACGCTGTCTGCTAGCGTCACAATGCTGTTTCCACAGCGTTGTAATGTTAATGGCCCCATTCCACAAAAGCAATCATGGCGCTACGGCGGTCGTCGTCGTAGTTGCGATCGCCTTAGCGCAAAGATTGCTTTGAGGAACGGCCCCGTTTCCCTAGCGTTAGTCTGTCTCACAGTCCTTGAACCACATTATTTTCATAACAGCCTAACCCTCCCTGCAATGCTAAAGCCGTTAATGAAGCAAGTCTAGATTTCTCCACGAATCTCGGGTCTCCCCGGTGCTCCTTTTCAATTTAAATGGATTTATTTATAATCAAAATTATATATTTCAGAGACTAAGCGTTAGTCTACCCTAGCGTCACAAACGACCTGTTTCCCGTAGATTACGCTTCCCCTTTTCTCCACGGTCACACTGTTGCCCATATTGCAGTTTCGCTAGCGCCACAATGACCAATTTCCCATAGGTTACGCTTTCCCTTTTCTTCATGGTCATATTGTTGCCCAAGCCCCATATTCCTGTTTCCCTAGGCCACAATATAAGTTGTTCACTGGTCACGAGGGGGGCATGGGTTGATGTACCCTCGATGTTTGAAGCACGGGTACAAATCTTTTTGTAGCCGTCGATAGATTTTGCTGACAAGAAAAACAGATTTAGAGATCTCCCTTCCATCGATTTGCATTTGCAAAACATCGGTAATTTCCGTACATCATACGTGATTCAATGTTATTCGAGATAAAGAATTACTACCACGAAGTACCAAATGAGTTGCCTTTGACATCGGGGTACATTGAAATGTTACTCGCTTGTAAGCGGGGTACATTGAAAATAATAGAAGAGCGCTCACCCAATCAGAAAGAAACATTTATGTGTAAGATAATGCTCTTAGTGCCGTCCCTGATACTTCAATATTTCATGGCGAGCCCTCCCTCATGCAACACCCCAAATTCTCAAAATGTGTTCAGTTTCAACTCAATCACCGCAACAAACACTAACACCAAGCACAGGCAACACGGTACTACGGGCTTACCTTTAGCAGGTAAACACAAGTTCATTGGGAACACAAACAATAGCCGAAACGAATTTAAGTTGCCCATTGTTTTGTTCAGTGCTCCAGTGGCTTTTATGGCTCGACATGCGTGTTACATTTCACAAAGGAATTTGTGGGACCAACTGCACAAAACCTTTCAGTGAGCGAGGGAGTTGGGTTTTACGCCGCTTTTGGCAAAGTTCCAGCAATATCACGGCGTGGGACGCCACAAATGGGCCTCACACATTGTACGAATATGTGGAATCGGACCCGGCCTTCGGCGTGACGGAGAACACTTTAACCACTGGGCTACCCACCGCCCTCAAAACGTTTGAACTGACTCTATTAGTCTCGTCTAAGGATAAGATAATGCTACAGCAGTTTTGTGCATACGGGCATCAACAGTGTAAGCTACACCCATACCACTGTATAAAGTCTTCATTTACAGATTGTATGACTTAAGCTTGTTTAGTCAAGCTAATGAGTCCTATTGTGAGCGACCTTTTAACGGGCTGTTAGGTACAGGTAGGTGTAGATCTCTATTGTCAACTAGGGTAAATATAGGTCGGTAATTGGTGTCTTGCGACCTATTACGTGGGTGCAATGCATTGCCCATATCGAACTACACGTGGTTAACGATTATGTGGAGGTGTGGCACTCCGCGTATAGAGTGAGTGAGTTAGTGAGTAGTTTTACGCTGCTTTTAGCAATATTCCACCAATATCACAGCGGGGGACACGAGAAATGGACTTCACACATTGTAGGCTACCCATGTGGGGAATCGAACCCGGGTCTTCGCAACGCCCCTCGTGTATAGATGTTGGCGATAGTGTGGTTGGTGAAAACCCACTGCGGCACAAGTGCCGAATGTGACGTACACACGTTCTGTGTGTCCGCGGGATGCCGGGCTAGAACGATGACAGGGCATGCCCTAATGAATCACACTCATATAGTGATGATACCAGGTGTTCGCCAAATAGGTGAGCGTATCCTGCCCCACCTGGGCATAAACATGCGCAAAGGCTAAAGTCAGCTGTTCACCTGAACCATTCGGGAAACGTATGGTACAAGTGTCCAGGCTGGTCGTCATAGGCGATGAATTTGAACTGAGGTGATAAGGCTTGCTGACTTGTTTGACTGGATGCCATTGTACGTAGACACGGTGGATCATTGCTCAAAATATCAATCACGGGATTGTCTGGACCACACATGGTTACTTAGACAGCAGTCATACAGCTGGAATATTGAAACATGTTGACAAACAAACAGTATAACCTGATTTGATCACAAGGCCAACATCACTTCGGAATTTCTTCCCTTATGACACCGATGTAACTAAAACACTGTCGAACGCAACTCACTCTGTCACGGGATACTTCATGCAAGGCCGCGATAACAGCTGGAGTTGCGTCCCTTTACAAGACAGTGGTCGTGGTTTCCCAGCTTGATTGTTATCAAGTCCTATCATCGACAACAATGAGTCACTGGCATTCCCCAAATATTCAGCAGACCAATAGTGTCATCGAGCCCTTAAAACCCACTCACTCATGCACTGCAAGACCAAGGCCGAAAAATGAGAGTTTAGTGTGTTTGCTTGTCTGATTCGAAACGGAGCGACTCATTTTTATATTTTGTAAAGCATTTTTATGAATCTGTTTTCAAATGTGCTCAAAGGGGCGACACTATAAATAGTGTTAAATAGTGTTTTAGGAGCAGGGAAAGGTCGCCTCGACCTCGACTACCATAAGGTAACGTGCCAACAGGGAGGTACACAAGGCTATATTTAGTGATGGTTTCATAAAGGCCGATGTAAACAGATAAGTGATTGCTGTACATCCTGTTTAGTTTAAAAATCATTGCATATATATTTATTCATATTCATTAAAATCGTGTTTTGTAAAATAAGGTAAGTCTTAAATGTTTTAAAGGGATGTAGATGAGTAGTTAGTCACAATAAAACATTCAACATCCGATAGATGCTATCAAATGTTGCAGCAGTCAGAGGCGTGTTATTGATTGCGCTGAGTAAGAGGATCTGGTTTCTCATGAGCAAGAGGTGATGACGTCATATCATTGAAACAAAGAAGTTGCAGACAAACCACCAATTATACTATCTTACCCAGGAAATAAACAAACATCCTCAACGACAATGTGCAATATTATGTTAAGACTATTTGCTCAACAGTTTGTAGTTCCGTGTTGAATAACAAATTCACTTTCAACGAAACTTCATTTTGACTCTCGATTATGAAACGAATTCTCCTGACAAGGATTTCCTCATGAAACTGGGGTTAATCCAGAGACCATATAATATATTTATCATATGATCTCCAGTTAATCCATGCTACATTATACCACACTTAAATATAGAATACATTGCTTCTGGAGAATAGCATTTCCTTAGAGCTGGAAGGGTGTCCTTGTATCAGATTTAACTATGACTTTAAACAAAGGCTATCCGATAGTTGTGAGATCCAACCTTATTATATTCGTTGAGGATACGTAAAAAAAACCTACAGAAACAAATTGGGATTCAATTCACGATATTCATAAGTTACTCTCGACACGAAGCATTTTTATGTTCATATATATAATAAGCGGATGTAATAAACCTGCCCGGGGTTACAAACAAAGCCTTGACAGACATTTCCAAGGTTGTTTGTTACAATGGTTTGAAAACAGAAGCAACACGATACGGAAACACACATGCAGAGGAAATATCATCACGCTCTGTAAAACAAGTTGGAGAGACCTCGGGGAAGGCGACATACGAATTACATGGGCTTCAGGTGAAGAGATATGACAATACCCCTACATAAGTAATAACAAAACACTTACCGTCATTTTGTCGTTTATGTCTGCTCTCAAGCTTGTATCCTTCGACCACGAAGTTTGTCAACATAAACGCTACGATCGAAACGCTACACACAAGCTTGTTCATCTTCAGCTTAATGTGAACTGTCAAGGGTTGTCCTAAAAACGTGCGTTATTTCACGTTTAGATGCAATCCGTTTGAGTTGTTGCGTTTTATACGCAGGTGAATCTTATCAGCTGATATACTCGGTGAGACACGCCAATTTAAACGCCGTCAATCGCTCCAATTCAAAGTGCACACAAATAAATCGTTATGCTTCACTGACACTCAACAAAGACCGTTTTTAAAAAGTGTATCACAGCAATTAATACTATCCAGTGAAGGCAAGAAGACGACGACTTGCGGTGAAATATGTCGTATAGCACAGGTGCAGTTTAAACTGTTATCAACACTGTGACGTCACGGGTTATAGTCGATCCGACGGGTCAACTTGTTAACAGGCCGACGAATTGCGAACCCTGGCGCCTAAGACAGAGCAGTGCTAAATACTTGCATTACACGAAACAAAACATTGAGTAATCCTCTACAGTGGTGTGTTCAACAGCAAAGACGACGGCGTAGTAAACAGCCCCACTGTGCAAACATGACGAGTGCGCTGTTTTAGAGTCTTTGAGGCTGATTCATTGTTCTATTTTTAGACTCGGAAATCCGTGTTGTGACTAATAGGGGATCCCCGTGCACTTAACGCTGATGTGTAGGATTATATCCAGCACAGCCGTGTAATACGGTTTTATGACATAATCTTGTTATGTCTGGTTTGGATGAATGCCATTTCCTCGCTATGGTGACGTAAATCTGAGATTAACAGAGATTTATACATGACACGTGCCACATGTTTAATGTCACGCTCCACGAACCGATGCGTCAGTGTTTAACATAATGTATTCAGTTCTTGTTGTCTTATCTATAAGTCAAGTTTAATCATGTTATCGACATGCTTGTATTGCGCAGTGGCAATGGAGCCGGTAAATATGTTTGTACAGATAGCATGGTAATTGTTTTATTAGGTGTTGCATTCTAAAAGAATTAAAATCAGCCGTGTGACCGGCGTTCTAGAAGGTGACAGTAAATAATAAACAACACGTACCACTTTATGGACAAAAACTTTCTTGTTTACTGCATTTGGCACTAAACAAAGAGTTATCATCCAAAGCGTTTTCTCAATTAAGATTGGTTCTATTATTGTATTTACATAATTTAAATCCACACTTGTAAAATCTGTGTTATTCAAGTTTCCAGTCTCAGATCCGTTTGAGCAGTGCGTACGGGCGCTCGTGTTTTTTTACATACACGTCACATACCGCGGACAGATTTTCCTCTGGGAGAACAGAGCTATACATTTGAACTAAGTCTGTTAGCCAGGATGACACGTTTTAACACTCGTGGTTTAAACATTTTATAAAGGATTGGCAAACAAGCCTAAATGGCTTATATTAATGCCGCTCCATAATACATGTGAACGTTCACATTTGTGCATAATGTTGTACATATTTATAGTGGTTATATCAAGTTATCTCTGAATAATGACAATCATGGATATCAACAATTTATCTTGGTTTTGTTTCGTGGCCAGTTAATACAAATAGAAAAATAAGAGAAGCTACAAAACTTTTATGGATCAAATCGTTTTGATGTAATAATGAATTGATGGACTGACCGTAGAATATCCATATTCGTCTGATGAGATACTGAGTTATTGCCATTTAGCACATCCCGCAGGGAGAAACCTTTCACATAGAAATATGATTCGTATCGAATGGTATTATATTTAGGACACATGAAAAAATAGTGGAATACATCCTCATAATCTTGTGAGCAGGAACAAGAAGCATTATCAGAAATGAAACGATTATATTTATCACTGTTTAAGTCACTGCATCCCAATCTAAGGCGGCAATGTATTATTTGACAGAATCGACTACCAAAATTTAGATGGAACATTGTGTTGGTATTAACTTGTGGTGTGATTAGATTCTTAAACTGTCCAACAGAGGAAGCGTTTGTAGCATTTGTAGGTAAGCCATTCCACAGTTTAATTGGTGGTAGGACAATAGGCCCACAAGGACATAACACCCTCAGACAAAACACCCCTAGGCTAAATGCCCCCATGACAAAAAGCCCTCAATGGGTAGGACAAAAGGTCCTCAATGAAGAGATGTAATAGAATACCAACCAAAAATATTTTCATTCCCACATGAATACAATATAATATAACATTATATAGCCTATGCAATAGCACATACTTCACAAATGTAAATCACCAAGCACATAATGCAGTTGTGCAGTTGATACTTGTACTACAGTTCTTACCAGTCTAATATTGTGTCCTATACCAGTCAAAAGCGAATGCTGTGAACACCGTCACCAATAGCCGGCAGCTGGATTCCAAACTTTAAAGAAGGTAGCAGGAAATCAGCAATTTATTTAAATAATAATACCATCTTAATAGACCATCTTAATAAACACACATTTAGCAGACTTCATTCCATTGTTAAAATAACAATTTCGTCACTGAGCAGGCTGTAACAACTATGAGCAGTGGGAGGAATTGCTTAGAAAACATCATGTTATCACCTGTCAACTCAAAATATACACCGAGGGTGTTTTATCCTATGGGTTGAAATTTGCAAGGGCTTTTTGTCCTGGGGGCATTTAGCCTAGGTTTTTTGTCCGAGGGCTTTTTATTGTGTAGGACAATAGGCCCACAAGGACATAACACCCTCAGACAAAACACCCCTAGATTGTATCGGGCAAAAACGATTTGGCATAATTAGTAGATTTGCATCTTATAGTCTGATAATTTTCATTATTCCTAAGATTGTAGTTACTGTTATCAGAAACATTCCCTGAACCATATGGTTTACCATTTTGTAAAATAATGTTAATTTAGAAGTTTCCCTCCGTTTCGCTAAGGAAGTCAGGTTCGCCTCATGATATAGTTTCGCATGGCTCGTACCTCTAACTGCACCGCATATTGTGCGTAAGGCATCTAAGTGAAGGTTTTCTAGTGACAAGGACTGTTCGTTTGTACAATTGTCCCAGAGATGACAGCAATAGTCAAATAGAGGTAAGATAAAGGATTTATACATTGTTTCGAGAGTTTTGCGTGATAGTCTATGTTTAAAACTACTAAGGCAATTAATCATAGGGTTAATTTTCCTTATCATTTCATTAATGTGGAAATGCCAAAAGAGGTTTTCCTGAAAAATAATGCCTAAGTGTTTATGGATCTGCACTTCATTTATAGGGGTACCATTCATCGAGAGGGGAGGTTTCATAGAAGGTTTGGTTTTGTGTGAAATTTGGACAGTTTCAGTTTTGTTTGGATTAAATTTTACTTGCCTGGTTTCCGCCCATTTAGATATTCTGTCCAAATCTGAGTTAAGAATAAATGCACTCGTATGGGGATCGTCGATTATTACATAGAGTGATGTGTCGTCTGCGAAAAGGCGTATATTGCTTTCGATTCCATCAACTATGTCGTTTATGTATATTAAGAATAAAAGAGGTCCAAGGACTGATCCTTAGGGCACTCCGGCTATTATCGGTTTTAATTCTGATTTGTAACCTTGAATAACTACTCTTTGCATTCTCGTGTAACAGGTGTATGAACTGATTCGTGTTTATACCATCTGGCCATCTAACGTCGGTAGAGTTTGATTCTTTGAGTGAGCAGGGTGAATGTTTTGAACACTAGAGGTTGTGACAAACTTGGGTGTGAGGGTGGGTGTGGGGTGGGGGTGGGGGTGGGGGATGGAGAGAATCATGTATAACTGCACTACCTGTCCCTTAATTGTCACAAACAGAACGCTTTATCCTGTTTATATCAACCGCCGTGAACAAAAATAAACTTATGCACATCAATAATTAAAATTAATAAACGAAGAATATACCAGGACATTCAATTATTAATATCGATAGATAGATGTTAACCCGTTCGAGGCTGCATGATTAGAACACACATTCCGAGTTCATTTTCGTGATCTTATAAGCGGCCCTCTGAAAGACGGATGAAAGACCAGGGCGTAGCTACAAGAAAAAAGCCCGGGCTTACTGTCCCTTAGTCCCTCCAAATAAGGTTGGGCAAGTATCAATACTATCTAAATGTACTGTTCAAAACAGAAACCATATTCCAAATGATGGTACAGTACTACATTAGTCCCTCCAAATGATGGGTGACAGTACTACCATTAGTCCCTCCAAATGATGGTACAGCACTACCTTAGTCCCTCCAAATGATGGTACAGATGGTACAGCACTACCTTAGTCCCTCCAAATGATGGTACAGCACTACCTTAGTCCCTCCAAATGATGGTACAGCACTACATTAGTCCCCTCTAAATTAGTCCCTCCAAATGATGGTACAGTACTACCTTAGTCCCTCCAAATGATGGTACAGTACTACCATTAGTCCCTCCAAATGATGGTACAGTACTACCTTAGTCCCTCCAAATGATGGTACAGTACTACCTTAGTCCCTCCAAATGATGGTACAGTACTACCTTAGTCCCTCCAAATGATGGTACAGTACTACCTTAGTCCCTCCAAATGATGGTAGTCCCTCCAAATGATGGTACAGTACTACCTTAGTCCCTCCAAATGATGGTACAGCACTACATTAGTCCCTCCAAATGATGGTACAGTACTACATTAGTCCCTCCAAATGATGGTACAGTACTACTATCCAAATGATTGTCCCTCCAAATGATGGTACAGCACTACCATTAGTCCCTCCAAATGATGGTACAGTACTACATTGGTCCCTCCAAATGATGGTACAGTACTACCTTAGTCCCTCCAAATGATGGTACAGTACTACCTTTAGTCCCTCCAAATGATGGTACAGCACTACCTTAGTCCCTCCAAATGATGGTACAGCACTATATTAGTCCCTCCAAATGATGGTACAGCACTATATTAGTCCCTCCAAATGATGGTACAGCACTATATTAGTCCCTCCAAATGATGGTACAGTACTATATTGGTCCCTCCAAATGATGGTACAGTACTACCTTAGTCCCTCCAAATGATGGTACAGCACTATATTAGTCCCTCCAAATGATGGTACAGTACTACATTAGTCCCTCCAAATGATGGTACAGCACTACATTAGTCCCTCAAATGATGATGGTACAGTACTACCTTAGTCCCTCAAATGATGGTACAGTACTACCTTTTAGTCCCTCCAAATGATGGTACAGCACTACCTTAGTCCCTCCAAATGATGGTACAGCACTACTACCTTGGTCCCTCCAAATGATGGTACAGCACTACATTAGTCCCTCCAAATGATGGTACAGTACTACCTTAGTCCCTCCAAATGATGGTACAGCACTACCTTAGTCCCTCCAAATGATGGTACAGTACTACCTTAGTCCCTCCAAATGATGGTACAGCACTACCTTAGTCCCTCCAAATGATGGTACAGCACTACCTTAGTCCCTCCAAATGATGGTACAGTACTACCTTAGTCCCTCCAAATGATGGTACAGTACTACCTTAGTCCCTCCAAATGATGGTACAGTACTACCTTAGTCCCTCCAAATGATGGTACAGTACTACATTAGTCCCTCCAAA